CAAAAACCTATTTTACATTTATCCATTTTCCAATTTGAAAATCGCTCTTCGCAAAGGAGTAAAACAGAATTTAGTAGTAGTAAAGTGATAATAAATGGGACCTATCGAACCATGCTAAAATTAAAAATTAGTATAAATTTTTATTTTAAATTTATTTTATTTTATAAAATTTGTATTAAAATTAATCAACAATTTTTGTCTATTTCGCTATTTGACGTTAAATAGTTATAGTCATTTCCCTTAGTATTGGATTCTGCACTCTGAGATTTCTTCCTTTCTTTCGGCCAGCAGTCTAATACATTCACGTAATCAAAAGTTTCTCGAAACGTCTTGTTTCGAAAAGAAAAAAAATTATGAATATCTATAAATATATTTGTATTGCATAGAACTCAGGAGTTTGCAAAAACGAGAGGAATATGCAAATGTAATACGAAGAGTATACGATGTCTAATAATTTATGATTAATTTACGATAATTTACATTACGTTGCTTGAATCAATCATATATTCGTTTTAGACAATCAGCTTTGCATAACTTTCTTTATTTATTTAAACAGAAAATCCGTATAGGTTCATTAAAAAAATAAGTATCATTGCATTTGGCAACTGTACGAATACATTTCTATAATCATAACAGAATTATGATTATTATTAAATAAAAATTGAGAGAAGCTTGATTTTTTCTATCTTTAATAAAAGCAGGGTTATAGTCTAATCCACTTACTATAGACTACTATAATTTTTTTTTTTTTTTAATGAATTTAACCCGTATATAAGCTCGTTAAATAAATTAAGATATTAACAGCGGTTATGCAATACAACTTCGTTTATCCGAATTAATTGCAAGACAAATCTGTTCAGATTTTTCGATTAATCAGTCTGAAAGAAGCAAATTTTGAATTATATCGTAAATCAACAAGGAGTTGAAAATTTTTCAACTATAAATATTTTTTAAGCCAATGTTTAATAAGTAATTTTAAGCTAATTAATAAAATAAATTACATACGAATTAAATATAGACATTTATATGGCATTTATTTTTTCGTCACGTTTTATTCGCTGTAACGCAATACGCACTTCCTGTATTCGGATAATCGGTTATTTGTAAAATCAAAATTCGCATAATCGGTGTTCGGATAATTGACGTTTCACTGTAACAGATCTTAATTAGTTCCAAACATGCTGGATCCACATTGGTTACAATTGTTCGCGAACAGCTTGCAATTGAGTATACACTATTCGTACAACGCTACAATGTGTGCACAGTGGGTAAACTTATTTACGAGCAGTATGCAAATAGGAAAAGCAACATATATCAGAACTGGTGAATAACTCGTAAACAATTACAGATCTGTTCGCTGATTAATAGAAGCAGATATTCTAAATCGAAGTGATCAATGAGATCCAATGAGATCGTGCTACGAATACGTCCATATACTGTGCGCACCCCGCAAGAAGTCTAACTCGGACGCGCCATCTACTCATCTATCACTGATAGTCTTTCTCGCACAGTACGACTGGTATATATGACTACTGTGGACAATAGCTCTTATAAAACCAAAAATACACGTTGATTCTTTGGATTCGAAGACTTTTCCGCTGTAAGAAGATAACAACTTGAAATAGAATAAATCTCTGAATAAAAAGTGATATATAGAAAATTAGTTATAGGTTAAATGAGTCATTCACGTGCCAAAGTGCTTAACTCTACTTTCTAAATTTTTGGAAACTTTTATTTGTCATTTCACGGAATTAATCAATTTTGCAAGTGATAGACCCAAATGGGGCGATCAATTAGACCTGCACTTCTTCCACGCGACTTCTTGCGAGGCACGCACAGTACGATCAGAGTTTGCGGACAGATCCACTACGTTCCATTTTTCGAACGAATAGCGTTCACTGTTGACAGAAACAATCACACTGTGGAACTGTCGATGAGCAATGTGGACCCAGCATAACAGAGGTACTCACGAATCGCGCGAGTCCCACAACTGCGCATTTCTCGCAGACATTTATCTCACGTTTCGCTCGATCCAGAAGAATCTTCGGAATCCTTTCCGACACACGATCTATCTGCTACATAAGCGTGCTTTACGTGTTTGTTTCAGCATTCGAGGAGGCTCGTGGCTATTCGATCGAGCGTAAAATCTATTTAAACGCGTTACAGAAAACGCCACGCGAGAAAATCGACACGAGTAAGATCAGCATGGAATCGAGCTCGTCATCGAGCTACGAGTCTTTGAGTAAGAGGAAATTGTTCAGCCACCCAGCAAGCGGAGGCAGATTCGGCTTGTACACGATGGGTCCACCAGGCCTCGTGTCGGCCAGGCGCGGTTTCGCGAAAGACGGTCCATTCTCGCCGGGACATTTCGGTTTTGGCGGGCCACCGCCAGGCTTCCGTCCTATGCCACCTCCACCAGGCATGCCACCCGTGCCACCGCTACCAGGTCCTCCGCCTATGTACGGGCCGCGGCCGTTTAGGTACGGACCACCACCGGCACCGTCCATGCGTCCGCCGCCACCTAGGCCAGGCTTCCCCTTCCTTGGTTTCCCGCCACCAAGACCTCCTCCGACCATGTTACCTCCACCGAAAATGCCTCCGCCACCTCCTCCACGCGTGACCTTACAGCAGTTGCAAACGCAGAAGAAGAAGTCGCACATAAGACACGGCGTCGTGAGTAAAAACCGTGCTGGTGCAATGAGACAGAATAGCCAATTGAGGAGGATACTGCCAAAGCTGTTGAAAGAACAGGACTTCACGGTAGACACGTTCGAAGAGAATTTGCTCGCGGTTTCGACTCAGACGAACAGGCGGCCAAACAAAGGAAGATATAACCAGAGGAAGTGACAGCGTGCCATTTAGGAGGCATGATATTACTTAAACGTACAATATCCCGTGTAATTCGCTATTGCCGAGATTCGCAGCCTCTTCGATGGCCAGTTGGCTGTTCGAAGGGCCAAGCAATCGCGAGAATGGACAACGGTTACTAACTAGTAAGGTTAGGTAACTAACTAATTGGTGCCCATCCTACGCATCCATCTCCTTTTTCTCCTCTGTCCACGCAACATGTTCCTTGACACTATTTTGAGAATAACATTCATCATTAATGAAAATAAATGCACTTTGTCGATAATATGATTATGAACCAGTCCATTATCATTCACCTTTTATAATTGATCGACTCCACGTCGAGAGGTTATGGTTTAGTACTTAATCGACGATGAGAGATCGCAAGTGTGCCATTGTTAATTCAAGGATCACGGCTCAGTCTCGTGGTTTCTCGTGGTTATAGACTGAAAATAAACACTCCGGGGCAGGTTTGCTCCCTGTACGGTGTTTTCCAACCACTGTTTCATCTTTAGATACGATACATTCGGACGGCTCGTTAAGTATATTGCATTGTTAACCACTTGCGTTGGAAACACGTGCCATGCACGTCCAGATCTTCTGCTACCAAATTCGCCAACCACGTGTCGGATACGTCGGTAGGTTGTTGCCGAAATAAAGAATGACGTGTGTGTCACGTCGACGGATTACACCGCGACGCGTATAGTCATCGATATAGCTGCAATACATTTTATCACGACGCAGGCAAATCGATTAATAAATTTATTTTATTTCATTAATTTCTCGGGGAGGCTAAGGGCTACGAAGGAGCCATCCGCAAAGGCAAAAGAATAATCCACAGAGTGCATGCAAAATACACGCAGTGGAACCACGTAGAACTTCCAAGAATCCCTTGCGGAACTACATATACCACGCTGTACAAAATTACTTAATAAACAAAGCTTTTCGCATTTGTATAAAATTCTTTGCGTAAGACTTTGCCCAGCCTTCTCGTTTCAAGTCACGCCAGCGTGTTAGCATGGCGTTTTGGCACACGCGTTCGCAGATTCGTTGCCAGCGCAAGTGGTTAGCATTGCCACAGTGATCACCGATCACCGGTTCTACGAATTTTTCGAATTCATCTCATCGCTCGTTTCAATCATTTTTTCAAAATCTCAACAGTCGCAAATAAATAGCGAGTTTTCTTCTTTTCTGATCGCATTCTTTGACAATTCCTCGTTATATCCTAAGAACCAAATGTTATTCTTGCCCCCTGATCGTGTGACAGTTGTTAACACTAAACCTACCACAGTATGAACGACGATTCTCCAATTTTTTATCGAAAATTCTGCATTTAATGTCATCGATTACTCGACTTCTCGATATTTCCCTGAATATACGTATATCAATTTTTCTGTTTCTTCTTCTCTTCCATTTCCTTTCAAGCTCTTTCATTTCTCCACCTATTGGTCATTTGACTGGTCGTGGTGGGTTTAGCGTTAATTTCGATCATCGAAATTTTTACTTCTTCATTCACTTCTATAAATTCTTCTTGTTCTTCAATAAGCTTGATTCGAAAGTATATTCTTAGTAAAAGTTGCTCATCGATTACTACCTATTTTAACTATGTTAACTCTTTCCGGTCGAATTTGCCGTAGGGCATGGTACACGTACTGGTCGGAATTATTTCATTAATCATTTTTTCCTCTTTAAAAACATATAAATTTTATTCGCCGTATTCTTTACTGTCTTGGTACTCGATATTTCATCCAGATTTATCCGTAGTTTTCTTTGGTACTATATATGTCAAAATTGCCGCTTTCCATCTTGGTTTCTTGGTTTCATCGTGTGACACGTAGTTTTTCGTTTAATCGTTCTTCTTCATTTTCATAAATTTATCTTGGTAAATTTTAAATTTCATAGGGGGGATTTTATGTGATATTCATTTCGATATTCGTTTACATCCTTGTTTTATATGCGACTGTTTATAGAAGAAGTACCTAATGCTCAGAAAAATAGTGGTTTCCACTATTTCATCGACTTTCGCAAGAACGAGTAAGGTCTGCAGCATTGGTTGACTGTATAAACACCATTCGTAATATTTATATTTGTGCCCATAATTATGAAAGTGATCTAAGTCATATATTTTTTGTTTCGAGATATTTAATGGATTACATTTGAATAAATTAAAAAATATTTTTATATTATGCAGCATTTTAATTTAGAATTTTATTAGTCTCGATTAATGAAAATTTATTACGAATGTGAAATTTTGGGTGAATCTCGTACGAAAATGTTGTTTTCAAAGTTTGAATTGACTTAGACCATTTTCAAAATTAACCGAATGACCTGTAAATGACTTAAAGCAATAAAAAACTACGAGTTTATTTGAAACAATAATTTTAATGAAATAATTCATGAACAT